GTAATAACATTAGTTGAGATAATCCTGGTGTTCTGCTTGTCTTTTGTGTTAGATATGAGCTCCTGAGACGTAAAATCCAGCAACCACTTGCATCAAATCCCCCTGAAGATTTAAATCTGTGGCACAATATTTACTCAGGAACTCAGTGGTTTTATAAAGATAAGGGTCTTAGCAGGTGAGATTACAAAAACTATAAAAACAAATGCTGGCATTTTGTATAGTGTATGTTTAATAGTTCAAAGTATTTCTTGTGTCTTTATGTAGTGAACATATTAATTATGTAATGAAATATTTTTTGTCATCTTTGGTATTAATCATTCTAATATGCAGGGATTTATTATTAGTCTGTCATTCGTGACTCATACATTGTTTTGCTTTGAAAAACAAATGAAAATAAAGATCTTGTGAAATTTTAGCATTGATATGCTCATGCAATCAAACCAGTTAGATTTATGTGTACATATGCTCTAGATTTGTGTGTTGGCAAAGTCATAGCACAGGCAGAATGAATGTTTGAGAAGTCCTAGCTGGGAAACATTTGAAACTTTGTTTCAGCATTGTTTTTCTTACCTGGTTTTAAAATGCAAATTAACAATTGCTTTAATATCTCCAAGGCCAAGAAGAGTATTTATCGCACTCTTAGATGATCTAATTTAAGGGCAGCTTTGTGTTAGCTCCATTATAGTTAAATGCAGAGTGTTGAGAGTTGGGAAACGGAGGGTGGGTTCTGTTTCTCAGTATGTTACAGAGCTACTACTGTGTGGTATAGAGCAAGGCATTTGCTCTTGATCAACCTTCGTTTCAACACCTCGAAATCAAGGCTACCACCCTTAAGACAAACAAACACGCACATTAAGAACCCGTAATGGAAGATTCAGCATGGATTCTGCACTGGTTTTTTGTAGGTAAAGTCTTGGGAAAACATTCATGGATGGTTTCACGATGTGTGTGTTCTCTGTGCTGGCGTGCTTTATGAGGACTGCATGTCAGTCATTGCCCCTCAAATGCCTGTATGTTGCTTCTACTTACTTTGATAAAAGCTGTGTGAGCATCCCTCCTGAGCACGATGTGAACCAGCAGAATGTGACCTCTGCCCCAGACTGTTGTATAGACCAAACCAAGCCAGGGGCTACTGCCTCTGGCTTGTCACTGCCTACTTGCTGAAAGTCACTGCTCATTTTCATCCATTGTAATAATTGATCATGGAGCTGTTCTTTTACCCAATCCTGCCCAAGCGTCCATTTCTTTCTTAAACCATGTTTGAAATTCTACATAGAGTTTCCTTTGGTTTTAGTTTAGCTCATTTCAGCAGCGCTGATATGTGCAGCAGTTATGTTAGCGGTTCAGAGCAGGCAATAAATTCTGACAGGGTCTCAGTGACAAGTCATTAGGCACAATGACCTTTTGGGTTGAATGAGCTATGGCCAGAAAAGTGTGCCTAACCCTCAGATACACCTGAACACTTCTTTTGGGGAGGGTTCTGCAACCTGCAGCTATGTTTTTGCAGTCAACAACTCAGGATGAGCGTGTGGCTGGAGAGGAGATACTGCAGAGAGACGCAGTCCTTATTTTTCACAGAAAGAAAATCCATATATCAGCATCTATTTTCATTTGTGTCATATTTTAAGCATGTTTCACAATTAGTGATTTTTTCATTATATTCCTGCCAGAAGTCTATTTTCACAATGATTTTTTTTTTCAGATGGCTTTTTCGTTTCTAGTAGGCTAAGCCAAACTTTTACATTCATTGTTAGAAATATGGATCAAAAAATGAATCTCAAATTCTCATCATTAAATTGGAAGAATAGATTCCATTCATCTTTGATTGCACCTATGCTACAATGTCCAAGAGAATACTACATGTTTGCAAGCAACAGAAAGTGCAGAGAGGGAAATAAGATGTGTTATGTATATTGTCACTGTTCTTCTACAATGCTTATCATTACAGTTGGAGCTAGTGAGCTCCCATTAGTTTGCTTTCTTCTTAGTGGGACTGCTAGATTAGCTCTTTAAAATCAGACTGGATGGTTGCATAATACAGTAAAGCAGTAAAAAAAAAAAAAAGTAAATATATTATGTGAGTGCCTTTTCATGTTGTAGAGAAATCTGTAAATATTGGGCACTTACTGTATGTTACTTTATTGTGTTTTTAGACAGCTATCCCAAAGTGCTACAGCTTCAGTGAAAATTTGAACAAGATGATCCTGTGTTTCTGTGATTGCTCAGTTTTGGGGGGGGGCTTTTTATAATGGAATTAATTTTGAGATTATGAAATCCCACTTAAAATACATTAATAAGCCATTTGATATAGAGAAGAAATTATGGAGTGACAGTCATTTGGTTTACTAAATATACATGAAGTATTTAATAAAACTGCGTAAGTTGAATATACATGGTTCTGAAGAAAATTACTTTATTAAATGAGTTTGCATTCCTAGGCACTTTTTTTTGTGTTTTAGTAGTGGGATAGTCCTGGCAGCGTGGTGAATCGTTTTTACAAATGAGACTCTGCAAGTTAAAATCGGTGGGTTTCCCAAAAGAGTAAAAAAGCCTCATTTGATTAAATTCTGATCCAAATTTTGGCAGGTTGCCATTACTGTAATTACATATTGCATTGAGCTATAATCTCTCAACACCTCAGAAGCTACAACTATGAAGAAGTGAAATAATGTGTTTTATTTTTGTTACCATGTTAATGGTGCTGAATTGTTTCCAAAAAATAGACGCCTCTTACAGAGTCTTCATTGGTGCAAACCATGCAGCTGCACTTGTTGGAGAGGGAGGGAAGAAACAGCAAAACTTTGGCACAGGCAGAAGGTTTACAGCAAATGTTTTCTACGTCTGCATTTTTCGTTCCATTTAATTATTTTTAAAATGTCTTAGGTACACAACATACGAGTACAAGCTCATAGTGCACAACGAGGTAGGATATACATCAAGTGAAGAAGTGATAGCTACTACATTAGCGGGATTACCAGAGAAAGGAAGTATCCTCATTGCACGTGCTGTTAATCATACTGCTGTAGAAGTGGAATGGTCAAAACCAAGTAAGTGTGCTTAGTATTTATTCCAGTAACTAGATGTTAACCTGCCATCACTTATGTTGCTCTGCCTTGCTCTCATAGGAAACACGGTCCTTGTCTTGATTTATAATATACCTAAGTGTCCTTGAAAGGAGGGGAAAGAAATAGAAAAAAAAAAGGTGCACATTTTGCTGTTTCTCGGTCATGTTTGTATTTATTATATGCTATTTCTGCAGAATGAGAATAGTGAAAGTGAAGAAATAGTTAATGCAAACTCATGAGAAATCTATAAAGTAGTAGTACACAAAATCCTGTTGTCTTTGTGGAATATTTCATCTCTTTGTATGAAAATTTACATATCCATTCCTTCAGGATGAGAGGATCCCCTTTCTCTCTCTTTTTGCTTTGCTCCTTAAAATGAATTTAGCCAATTTCTCTAGTTGGTTTGCTAATACAGCAGTGGGGAATTTCTTCATGACTTACATGCAAATGATTTTATAAGGACTGGATGCTGAATTGCAACAAATGTAGTCTCTTTATTTTATAATTGCATGCCTGAAGTAAGCATGCTTATAAAAACTGACAAATGTAATAGATCTGAAGCAGCTCACTGAACTTTCATTACCTTAGTAATCTAAACCCCTGACCTTCTAGATGTAGGTAATGCAATCTGGTTTTATTTTCATTCATACCTTAGAAATTTTCTTCATATATGTTTGTGAATTCAAAGGTTAAACACCAAGACAGGGCCATTCGTTATTGGAAAACCTTATTGTATTTTATTACTTCTTATGTTGCAATAAGCATATTAACTATTTTGTATACCCATGTTTCATTTTTTCACAATATTAGTTTTTAAATGATATTCTTGTTTTCTTTGGGAACTTGGGAGTCCTTAACGTAAGTTGCCTTGCTAGTTTTCTTTTTCTGGAAAACCTACTGAAGGTTTCTGACTTCTAAGGATTTAGGACTTGTATCTGTACCACTTAAAATAAAAATAACATATCACTCGATTAAGAATTTCTATGACAAAACTGTGTACTATTAATCTGAAAATATGTTTTTGGCTTTTATCAATGCTATTTCCCAGTCAGCTGAGTCCTGTTCAGTGGTACAGTGTGTCATCTAAAGCAATATGTATCAGTGCTTAAAGTTTTTGTCATAATTACTCTTTTCATCTTGGTGCCTACTGGAAACACAGTTGCATTTGATCAGATCTTAACTTAAACTGTTTGACAAAGGATGGGTAAGATAACAGACTCTATCTGAGTTACTAAAATGGAGATGCAAGGCTTGCCTGGAATCCTTGTTTATCCACCAGCTCAGACCAATGAATGTCCTTCCCTGTGTAGCCAGAAAATCGTACTGTTTTTTTCAGTTCCTTTCACTGGGGAAGCTAGTTGCTGGACAAAACACATTTTAGGAAGAAATGTGAGGAGTTGTTTTTTTCCCCTATAAATATAATGCTTCTGAGTGTATTACAGTTTTACATGTAGACAACGCTACCATGCTTGTTCTAAAATAATAACACGTAGATTTTCATTTTCACTATGGCCAAAAGGTCGACTGTGTAAAGTTGAATGTAACTATAATTTAAGACATAGGCACTTGCCCCTCATTCATGGCTAGAGGACTAACACAGGAATTCAGTACTTTTGGGGTGGGATAAAGATGTGGTTTTTGAAGGGAAGGAGCAAAAAGGGAAAAATTCTTTGAGGTTTCCATCTTAAACTAGTGCCATAGAGCAATCTTATTTGCTCTCTTCCTTCTATCTGGGTGAAAGCCATCCTTTCGCAGTGGCAAGCTGCAAGGTCCGGCACCACTGCTAGCAGTGGGTTTCCCCTATTAATTTGTTTACTTTACAGATTCCATTGTCATCGTGGGGATGACTAGAGAAAGAAAGCTTTCTCCAGTATTAGATAGAATGATCTGTTAATGATTTTCACAAGTTTGGAAGAGCAGTCTGCATCTCTGCTTATAAGGGTGAAATTGAAGGCACTTGATGGAATCTGCTTTTTTTTAAATAAGGGGGTCTGCATAAAATTTGTTTTTCTCTTCACAACACGTTGTTGATAAAAAACTTGCTGACTGAATATTTCCCAGTTGATCTCCCAATGTTTTCTCTTTCTTAGCACTACAAGATTTGCAAGGAGATGTTGCATATTACACCCTCTTCTTGAATTCTACTGATGATAGAAGATCTCTGAAGATCCAGGCTGACGTAAACTCTGTAATCGTAGATGATTTGCAGCCCAACACAGAGTATCAGATATTTTTTCAAGTTTTTAACGGAGCCCACAGCATCAACAGTGAAGTTGTGCACGTGACTACCTCAGATGGAGGTTGGTTAGCAGTGAATGCGGCTTGGCTTAAAATCTGAGAATGAAATTAATTGATTTTTGTTAGGGTTGAGATCAGTCATCCTTTCATTATAAAATTTCCGGTATAAAAGGAAAAAGGGCTAAAATGCTAAAAAGCTTAAGTGCTGGTTGTCATCATGTGGTGGATCAATAAACGGTCCCACTGAGACAGAAGCAAAAGCTCTAATAGCAGATATTAACCCAGTTTGTTCTCATCTTCTCCTGCATACTCCTATCTGTGAGCACTAAGTTTGGAACTGAGTTCATATCAATAAATGGTGGAATTCAGAAACAATTAATGGGTTTTTTAAAAGATTTGCTCTGTGAAGCGATATGCTTTTGACATGACAGTCATACAGAGGGCCTTTCCTGAGTCACCAGAAACTCTAGGTGTAAGTTCAGCCTCAAAGAAAAGACTTTATGAGTAATTTCTATGCCAGTGGACAAGTGCGGGGGGAGGGATGGGGGAAGGAATAAAATAAAAAAATAATTGTGAATCTGAAATGTGTTTAGAATGGTCTTTCTAATCTTTTTGCTTTATAAAGTCTCATTATAAACATTATAATATCATTACCTCAGAAGCAAGTGTTCCAGGTCATTAGCAAAGCACTTTAAGTGAGGATTCCATTTCCTTTCTGATGCCAAAGGTCAGCACCTTTTGTTTATAAAATAGAATCGATCGCAAGGACAATTTTTCAACTGGTAAAGATGGGTTCTTATGATAAAAATAGGTCTTTGCATGGTTATTTCTGACATGCTTAGATAATTATGTAATTTAACGCTAAGGAAGGTTTTTTTTTTTTTAAAATAAGTCTTAGACTTTTTTCAACTGGTAAAGATGGGTTCTTATGATAAAAATAGGTCTTTGCATGGTTATTTCTTGACATGCTTAGATAATTATGTAATTTAACGCTAAGGAAGGTTTTTTTTTTTTTAAAATAAGTCTTAGACTTCATCATTACCTATAGTAATCAACATTCAAAACCATTTACATAATGACAATATTGCATATTGCTTCATAGTGCTTCAGCTATGAGGCTGATAACGTCACGTTCCACCAGACATAAAGTATTTTGGTCTCAGGTTTTGCTTTAAAAGCAAAATGCTCTGTTCTTCTCTTTTTTTTGGAAGGATTAGGATTGGGGAGACATAAAATAATGTTTGTATGTTGGCAGTGTAGATGGGTGAATAATTTATCATCATATCTCACTGGCCACATACTACTGATGATTGACACTATGCTGCTGGTATAAAGCATTTTACCATCAGCTCTCAAAGTTTCTAACTGAGAGTATAATAAGCCAATTTGCAGAAGACTACAGACTGTGATAACTTCATCAGAGGAAAGCAGATAAGCAGTGAACCCTTTGCTAAACCTAAATACTAATCTGCATTTGGTTAAACAAGTGCTTTTGCAGAGACAGCTGGAGTTTATTCAGTTTCTTCCTTTATTTCTAGAGCCTGAGGGCATGTTCCCTCCAGAGGTTGTCATCATCAACAGTACAGCTGTACGTGTCATCTGGACATCGCCTTCAAACCCAAATGGTGTTGTCACAGAGTACTCTATCTATGTAAATAATAAGCAGTACAAGACTGGAATGAACGAGCCGGGGTCCTTTCTTTTAGCAGATTTGTCTCCATTCACTGTATATGATATACAGGTTAGAATATCTTTTCTGGGTTGTGCAATAGACTTTAATTTTACATAAAATATGTGTATTTCCACATGGAATATTGTTTCATGAATTTCTTTACATACATGGACATATATTTGCACTGTTGTTTGTGAGTATATACATACAAGGCATAAATTTATTTTCAGCGTATTTTAGGTCTGTGTACACTTTTCATAATACAAATTTCCATTATCTTTTTTCAAACCATCAAAACTCCATTTACTTTCCCCTAAATGCTCTGTGCTACAACATTAGCAAAGCCTCAACATATATTACAAAGAGGCAAAGATTCTACTCCTACTCATTAAAAGAAAATTGCAATTGTTTTAGAAACATCAGGCATGCATAATATATCAGCACAGAGAAATAATGATATTGCATTTGTCATCCTTTTATCATTTTTTTTCTCCTTATCCTTCTGAGGAGGAAGCAGAGCTGATCTCTGAAATCATAGTAGTACTTTTTATGTTGTTAATAAGTACAATATTTTTTCTTTGCTTTTCCCTTTCTCTATCTCTGTCTTTGCCTCTCTATTCATATATCTAATGAAAGGCAAAATACTGTGTGCAGAATAAAAAAAAATGAATAAAGAATATCTTTCTATCCTTAAGTTGTATTAATATATTCAAGAAATGCAGTTTGACACTTAATTGTAACTATACCTGTCTATTTCATTCAGGTTTGGTTCGCATTATATGAGAAGAACTTAGTAGTACCATGTATACTTCGTTCTGAAAATTTGCATCCAGCTACTACATGCCATAAATAAACATCACAGACAGGCATACCGTAGCAGATTTCTATGTTCCAGCCCCTGTGAAACAGCAAACCTCCATCCATGAATACACATATGACTTTCTGAATGCCGCTTGGGAACACATTTGTCTTTTCTCAATAACAATGCAAATTCAGTGTACTGCCTCACTTACAGACCCTCTATATTAATTTACCATGGCCACCTTCTGTTGCTTGAGATGTTAATTATTCTTCTCTTCTGCTTTCCTAGTCTTTATACTGGACTTATATTTGCATCAATGTGATAGGTAAAACCAAAATTAACTGGGTTTAATTCTTTTTTTCTTTTGATTCTTTTTCTTCTTGTCTTGGAAACAATATTATCTTGGATGCATGTGCATCTCACTGGTAATCTTACTGCATTATCTTTCATTTTTTGTGCTCTTTTGAGTAACTTCTGTGTTGACAATACAGAAAAAATGTTACCATCCTTCACTAACTATTTCACTTTGCCTTTGCTTAGTTTAATCCCAAGCATTGAAGGAATAAGTTTTTATTTCTGTGGTGTTTTTCATAACAAAGTGTCTGACTCCTACTTGCATTTTTGATTTCTAATTTTCCAGAATAGACATGAAGGAATAGAAAATATTAAGGAAAAATTATCCTTATTTTTATGTCAGAATATATGGTAGGTGTAGAAAACTTACTCAAGGCCCCAAATCAAAGTACACTTTTTTCAGTGTTGTGTACCAGAATCTACATATACATTCAGAAAAACAAATTCACTGCAACTCTGTTGGTGATAATTTAATAGAGAACAGCAATTAGTGCCAGGCAGCTGCATGTACCCTTTTTTTGAAAGTGGTGTGGGAGAATGTGATACAGCGCAGTATATCTCTGGTAGATATATTTATCTCAAAGCTGCGGTATTTTCCTGGCTGTGTGGAATCTGTTAAATAGAAAAGAATAAAATCTTGGGTGAAGAGAGAAGTCTAAACAAGTAGCAGAGCTGAATAATTTCTGCAGCTAAGTATGTGAAACTCATGTTCTTCTTCATCAGATTGAAGCCTGCACGGTGTATGCCTGTGTGAGAAGCAATGGGACCCAGATTACAACTGTGGAAGATGAGCCAAAGCAGCTGTCAGCACCCATTATTCACATAATTGGCTCAAGGTACTATGCTAGAGGTGGCTTTCATATGCCAGAGCAATTTGTGGCTGGAATGGGGACCGGAGTGTAAGGTTGTCTTCTCTCAGTTGAATAAGGTGCATAAAAGAATTCAGTATACACTTTGAAAACATTTTTCATGGTTGTTATTTTCGGTCTTGGAGTTCTTGGCCAAAAGAGCAATTGAAGAAACCTCACCCTTGGCTGACTGTACATACCCATTTGGGTATCGCTGTGCTGTGATAATAAATAAAGCATAAGTGGAAGTAGTTAAGAGAAGAAGTGTAGAGGAATGAAAATTATCACATTTTGCTGTCAGTTAAGAAGAGGAAGATTAATGCTCAGGGAGCTATGCGATGCTGATAATGGAAACTTAGAATAATTGTGGGTAAAAAAAAGTCACCTATCACAACAGTAAGAATTAGTAAGCTATCTTAAAAGGCATGCATATCTATGTCTCCTTGAACCGCTGTTTGCAATCTGCCTATCCACTACATCCACAGGCATGGGCAAACTTCTTAATTGTAAAGGGAGCATCAGATTTTCAGTCCTTAGAAGCAGCCAAATAGTAAAATATACAGTGATTCTTTGGGAGTTAATATCTTCCAAAGACAGACTAAAACTGAGCTTGCTAATACATTTTTCAGAATTACACCAACAACAAAACAGTTAGCCTCCTGTTTTTATGTTATTGTTCATGTGATTTTATTACACTTCTGGTGGTGTATGCTCATTAGCAGTTTCTTTTATAGAAAGAAAAAAAATCTTTTTTTTAAATAACAAAAATCTCACATCTGAGCTTCAGAAATGGCCAACAGAATGGATTTGCTTCTCCAGCCTTTTAAGGACTTTGGTTTGTTGTTTCTCATTTCTGCGTTTTGCTTGAATTCAGCATTTGTCTCTTTATAAGGGCAAAATTAAGCTTGCTGTTTTTCTGTCACACATACAGATATAGTCAAAGCTTGTTTGATGATAAGAACTCAATTCAGGATCTCATCTTTTGCCCTTGGCTTTAACTTATGTATGCCTTTGTCTGTATTGCCTGTACTGCAAACACTTATGCATGTTTCTGCTATTATATATAGACTAAATATGTCATAACACATGAATGCAAAAGGATCAAAAATGCCTTCCTACTTTATAAGCTGCTCAGCCAGAAACAGACTCTGTTTCTACACTGCCTTTTCCTACATGTCATATTATCATCAGCTGTTCTTATATCCCAAAAGAATACTAACTACTGATCGATTGCCCGGACATGTCTGGCCGTGGCCTACATGTGCCCCGGGTAGTTCATTTATTTGCCACGGTGGATTTGCTAGAGTGGAATTTAATCAATAGCTAATTCATTAATTCTGGTCCTCGAGTATGTAGGGACTGTGCAGTATAAAAATGACTGGCTGGTTTCAGCTTTGATTGAAATATGACAAACACTACAGCTGACAGCTTCAGCAGGTGCTGGGCTGAATATGAATTTTGCTTATTGTCGTGGTTTAACCCCAGCCAGCAACTATGCACCACACAGCTGCTCACTCACTCCCCCTCGGTGGGATGGGGGAGAGAATCGGAAGAGTAAAAGTGAGAAAACTTGTGGTAAAGACAGTTTAACAGGTAAAGCAAAAGCCACGCAAAACGCAAAACTCATTCCCTACTTCCCCTCGGCAGGAGGGTGTTCAGCCATCTCCAGGAAAGCAGGGCTCCATCACGCATAACCATTACTTGGGAAGACAAACGCCATCACTCCGAACGTCCCCCCCTTTCCTTCTTCTTCCCCCAGCTTTATATGCTGAGCATGACGTCATATGGTGTGGGATATCCCTTTGGTCAGTTGGGGTCAGCTGTCCTGGCTGTGTCCCCTCCCAACTTCTTGTGCACCCCCAGCCTGCTCGCTGGTGGGGTGGTGTGAGAAGCAGAAAAGGCCTTGACTCTGTGTAAGCACTGCTCAGCAACAACGAAAACATCCCTGTGTTATCAACACTGTTTTCAGCACAAATCCAAAACATAGCCCCATTCTAGCTAGTATGGAGAAAATTAACCTTATCCCAGCCAAACACAGCACACTTATTTATCCTCCATAAAAGAAAAAGCTTGGGCAAAAAAACAGTTTGTGTAGAGAAGAGGACATTTTAGTACATATCTGTCATCAGAGAAAAAAGGCATTTCTAGAGTATAGGCTCATGGGATACCGGAGATATAATACAGACTGTGGAGTTTATTGTCTTTAATTGGAATCATGGCATTTTTCCTGCTTCTGAATCAGTTTGGGGGGCTACATTATTGATGAGAATGCTGTTAGATAATGTCTTTGTAGCATTCACAAATAATTGTTTTAAAATTAGCCTCAAGGTGCTGCATGACATAAATTATAATTTCACCCACCAACTTCTTAGAAGTCTTTCTGATAGCAGCTCCATGCACACTGTTCTAATGAAGGTTATACTACTGGAGCCATTATAAATACCTTATTTTTCCACCCCTTACAGTTAATAACTCAGCTTCAGGCTGAAACTTGGCACAAAAGGTCGCAGTCCTGGAATGATTATTTTATAATGCCAAACTTCAAATAGAAAACAGTATGGGACCCAGTCCTGAAGTCCTAAGTCAGGTTCTGGTTTGTTATGTTTCTTGTCTGGGTTTTGTTTCTTTGGAGGGGGGTGGTATTGGCCATTTTTAGGTAGAAACAAATCCTATTGAAATCAAGTATGCATTTTTTTTTTTTTTTAGTTAGGACCTCAGGGTTTGTGTCTATAGAGAAGTATTGTATTTTATTGCACAGATTAGAAAGTTCTCTGAGTACTGTATGCATGTGGATGCTGACTTAAAGTTTGTGTAGTGGATGAAATTCTCGTGGTGTGTTGGAAAAATGTTAATTTCTCTTTAAAATATCTTTCTTCTTTCTCTTGTTCCTTGTAATACAGCATGCTTCGTTTTTCCCTAATAACAAGACTTAGTAGCAGCTTTGTTCCTTTCAGTAAACTGAGGCACAATGCAGATGAACCCTGCCAGAAATTCTGTTCAGTGCTTAATTAAAAGGTTGATGGCTCTGAAAACACCTTGTGGCATAAACTAGGGAAAATTCTTCAGAGCTTCATGAAGGAAGAGAGGGCCCTTTATGCATTTTGGGGGAACCAGAAACCATGTTCAGGGTGTAATGGAAAGCTCAAAGAAGATAAAGCCATGGGAGAAAAGCTAGGTGAATTATTTGGTTTGATGTTTAGTATCATGGAGCCTGGGAAGGTTTCTGTATCAGGTGCTGTTTGTGGGTGAATGAGCTGGAGGAACTAGCTCAAATTAACATTAGTGAGAAAGATTTTAGAACAATTGGATAAAACATACAGTAATAAATTGTTGGGATGATGGTATTTGCTCAGGAGTTCTAAAGGAGCTCAAATATGAAAGTGTCAAACTACTGTGCTGTGTAAAATATCCTTTAAATTGGTGTTGGTACTGGAGGAATGAAAGACAAGACAATGTAGTGCAGATTTCTCCAAGGGGATCTGGGGAACTAAAGACCAGTAAGTCTGATTTTCCATACTGGGAAAATGGGTGGAAAGAACAAATAAAAAAAGGGATTCATAACTATGTGAATGTTATGGGGGTGGCATTGGCCCAACATGAAATGCTGGGGAAGATTGCTGGGAGTCATGTCCAACCTGTGTGTCCAGGCAACATACAAAGTCAGCTTTCTCAAGTATGCTTAGTTTTATAGCACTTTACTTGAAGTGTCCAAGGCAGTGTTCCCATGGAGGAAACCTGATCGCTCTCCCTACTTGAGTAATGGGAAAAACAAGGCACAGAAAGATTTCACAAACTTTGTAGCAGCAAAGGAAGCATAATGCTATTTATCAGACTTTCTGTACTGTGTCATACCGCCTCTCTAATTATGTTAGCACTGCAGTCCACAATACAGCAGGTAGTTAACTCCTGCACAATAATGCTGAAGCAGTTGCTCAGTATGTGTGATCTTCTGATGAGGAAAGTATTTCATCCACTGGTCATTAATAATAGCAGTATTCCCTATCTTAAGAATGTCAGGTGAATCTTGGGATTTTTCTGTGACTTTTTTTTAATTCCAGCTTCTGAAAGTACAGTCATTGAATCTTAGATTTTATGAGATTTTTTAAATTTAAGCCTTGTATTTGAGGAGACTAATACAACATTTTCTCTCAAGATTCAAAATTAAGGCCTTATTATATCCTTAATCTTGATGGTTAAACCGTTACTACTGAGTTGAGGTAAAAAAAGATCAGGAGTTCTTTTCATGGCTCATGGATACTCGAAGCTGGTGATACTTGAAGCAGGCAAAACCCAGAATTTCTTTTCCGAAATCTGGTTTACCAAAATGTGTCTGATGTCATATCAAACCTGAAATATGGATATTTTTCATGGATATAAAAAAAAATAATATTTCCATCTAGAAATGTCAGAATGAATTGTCTTCACGTGCTTGAGCCAAAGGATTTCAGTTTGCTCTGTTGCACCAAAAGCAAATACACATTTGTGGATCAGTTTGAAATTGTTCTTTATCTCCTGGAAGTGCTGCAGTGCCTCACGGACCTTGTAGTCTGAAGCAGTTCTTTTCTGTGAAGCTGGTTAGGCTGCCTTTTCTCTGGGAGGTGAGCCCTGCTTCAGTATTTTTGCCACATTGACAGCAGTCACAGAAAGGACTCATCCAGCATTTGAACTATGATAAATGGCACATGCTTGAAATGAAGTTTTCTCTGGCAGACAAGCACTATACGCCACGTGCCAGGTGTTGCACATCTGTCTGTGCCCAGAATTTGCAAGTCTGCTTCTATAGTTTGGGGTGTGGGCACTTACCAGCATAGACACAACTCCGGTTTACCTGAGAGGGAGTAACTGGGGATGAAGAGAAGGAGAGGGTGGGCAGGCTCCGTCCCTGTGTTTCTGCGGCTGTATCAAATGCACCGTACATGATACAGCTCGATGCATGCTAAAGTGAAGGTTCTCAGCTCAGCCTGGGGTATTTGTTCAGGTGGGGGGGTGTCGAAAAGCCTCTGCAGTCCTGTGAAAACCCTGCTGATTTTTTTAAACTGAGCTATGCATTGTTCTTGCTGTGATGCTTTCAAAACCACCACAATTTGCCATGGGTGGCAAATATCAGAAGGTGTAGACATAACTGAAACATTCATAAAATTGTGAAGGAGTCTGCTTATCTGTGACTCATTATTGGAAGGCCATACTGAGTTTTACCCTTTCGGTGGCACTGGTCAGTGAACTCCCATGCCACGTAATTTTCTTGTGCAGCTGCAGCTTTACACAATACCAGCCTATATCGACCCCAAATGTGTATCTATAAATTGAATAATAATAAAGTGGTTGCTTGTTAAAAGAAAGAAATACATGCTGAGCTCTGCAGAAAAGGCAAAATGTTCAAATCCTTGCATCAATTCTTAGGCCTAATTTGAAATTATTTTAGAGAGAAATATGACTTGCAAAACTGCAAAAACTGGCACAATACTTTGAAAATATACCCTTGAGGGTCTGAATGAAACTTGCAGAAAGCAAATAATTCAAAAATATGACTCAAAATGCTTTCTTTGCTCCTGTGATCTATACTGTGCAAAGACCAGGAGAGAGTTTCAATGGCATGTATGAAGATTGAAGTACTACCCTTCTTTTCCTTTTCTTTTTATCTTTTTTTCTGAAGTTTATACAATATATTTTCCTGCTTTTATGTTTTTAAGTTAGGTCCTGTAACATTATTTAAATGTAGACATGTGTGTATGTACACGAGTGTGTGTTCATGTGCATGTGGTAGAATACATAGTCAATACAAAATAGCCATGTACGGAATATGGAGTTAAATCTGTGGTTCAGATTAACACCTTGGAATGATAATAGTGACTCTACAAGTCACCTATGAAGTTACTCCTTCATAGGTGACATTAATTCCTGTACTGCAAAGGCTTATTGCTGTGTGTATTCCTCTGTTTATACCTCAAGGAAGTGAAATAATAATTCAGTTACTTTTATTCTGTTAAGATGTCAAAGTTTATTGCAGCAGCTGCTGTTTCACTGTAACATTTTCACCTTAAATTAATGCTAATTTATGATGTCACTGGCATTCTGACAGTGGCTGTGTAATTGGGACATGGAGATTAAAAAGAGGTACTTGGAGCCTAAGTATATACTATGCAATGTTGTCAGTCCTCCTATTGATCTACATGCAGCATTGGGATCTCCTTCTCTCTACCCAGAGAGAGTTGTGGTGAATGGAGTCACGAGCGGTGTTCCCCAGGGCTCGGTTTTGGGACCGGTCTTGTTCAATATCTTTATCAATGATCTGGATGAGGAGATTGAGTGCACCCTCAGTAAGTTTGCAGATGACACCAAGTTGGGCGGGAGTGTTGATCTGCTCGAGGGTAGGAAGGCTCTGCAGAGGGACCTGGACAGGCTGGATCGATGGGCCCAGGCCAACTGTATGAGGTTCAACAAGGCCAAGTGCCGGGTCCTGCGCTTGGGCCACAACAACCCCATGCAGCGCTACAGGCTTGGGGAGGAGTGGCTGGAAAGCTGCCTGTTGGAAAAGGACCTGGGGGTGTTGGTGGACAGCCGGCTGAACATGAGCCGGCAGTGCGCCCAGGCGGCCAAGAAGGCCAATGGCATCCTGGTCTGTATCAGAAATAGTGTGGCCAGCAGGAGCAGGGAAGTGATCGTGCCCCTGTACTCGGCCTTGGTGAGGCCGCACCTCGAATACTGTGTTCAGTTTTGGGCCCCTCACTACAAGAAGGACGTTGAGGTGCTGGAGCGTGTCCAGAGAAGGGCAACGAGGCTGGTGAGGGGTCTGGAGAACAAGTCTGATGAGGAGCGGCTGAGGGAACTGGGGTTGTTCAGCCTGGAGAAAAGGAGGCTGAGGGGAGACCTCATCGCTCTCTACAACTACCTGAAAGGAGGTTGTAGCGAGGTGGGTGTCGGTCTCTTCTCCCAAGTAACAAGCGATAGGACGGGAGGAAATGGCCTCAAGTTGCGCCAGGGGAGGTTTAGATTGGACGTGAGGAAAAATTTCTTTACTGAAAGAGTGGTTAAACATTGGAAGAGGCTGCCCAGGGAAGTGGTTGAGTCCCCATCCCTGGAGGTATTTAGAAGACATGTAGATGAGGCGCTTAGGGACATGGGTTAGTGGGCATGGTGGTGTTGGGTTGACGGTTGGACTCGATGATCTTAGAGGTCTTTTCCAACCTCAATGATTCTATGATTCTATGATTCTATAGTGAAAGCAATTTGTGTCTTATGCAACATGCCAGCGTGATTATGCAAGAAATGAAGTTTTCATTTGAAATACCAGTGTAAAATGTGCACATTATAAAAGACAGAGTAAGTTTCTGTTTCAAATGTCCCTTTTTGACATTATTTTTCTTAATTGTAATATTGAGATTTTGGAGCCAATATCTGCACATTTTTAGTAGTGACAGGCATGCTACAGTTTAACATGATTTTTCCCTTAAGATACTTTCTTCCTTAAACCGATGATGGTCTAATATCAAACCTGAAATCAACAACAGGATTTTGTTTTACAGTCAGTCTTTTGCGGGCTGCTGCTCCAGTCATGCTTTTGCACTCAAAGTCAGAAGTCTTGAGTCTTACTTGTGATAAACACTTGCATTTTTTACTTCTAATTTTATGTCAATGAAAATATTTAAGCACAGAAGAGGAGTAGTGCTTACTGATGCTGTGATGAGTTCTTTCTTTTAGTTCTGTGCTGACGAATACGTTTCAAAGCAACATGCATTTTTTGTATAACGTTTTTGAAAGCAGGGAAAAAGCAAGATGAATACAAATCTGTTCTAAACGGTGACTGAACACGATGTGAGTAAGCTGCACTGGCAACAGCTCAGAGGGCAAGGAGCAGTCTTTTGCCGCCCAGCTGCCCGTCCTCTACCAGGTTCCTATCTGAGAATGGAATGGTTGCACCAGCCCTGACAATAGTTCGTGTACGCCTTTGCTATAGCACCAGGAAGGCATACTGAATCCTTTCTCCTACCACTGAAATGAAACGAGTAAAATGCCAGAAAGTTTATTACACAGAAGTATGAATGTCTTTTAAATAGCAACCTTTAAGGACTTTGATTGCATGTGTGATTTATTTTCCCAGAGTATTAGCACATATTGACACTTTCGTCAAACTTTTACACCTTTTGGTTATTAAAGCAGCTGTGAAATTCACCATCAGAGGAACATTTTGAACTCTTCAAAATATTTCATTCCACGGGAACTAGTATAAAATGGAACTGCTATATGCTAATCTCGTAATGTAAGTATCCGTAGAAGCATAAATACTTTCAATAATTTAACAGATGTTAATTTTCTGCCTATTGTAGATCTCTTCAAATCAACTGGGCATCACCAGGACAGCCAAATGGCATTATCCTGGGATATGAACTCTTACGTAAAGCGTGGCAGAGGTGTACCCCATCAAAGACTCCAAGGAGTAGCAAAAGTAATAGAATGTGCATCTCATTAGAATGTAAAAAGCATGAAAATATCTGTGGAGAAGTGTGTTATCATCCAGAGTTGAAGGTACATGTATATTCTTAAGTTAGCGATGTAATGAAAAATTATACTTTTAGGAATAACTGTGTAAACCAAACCTCTTTAGTTATCAGAGGAAGGGAAGTGGAGGGTTCTGCTTCTTTTGATATTTTAAAATCAAGGCTACAATACATGTTTTGAAACTTTTAAAAATCAAATATGGATGTTTGAGCTCAGTACAGGGATAGCTGTGCGAAAATCTCCAGCAGTCTATGTATAAAGTCAGCTGATGACAAGTGATTCTGTTGTCATAAGTCTGTGATTGTTGACTTTATTTCTCCTTTCAGTAGAAATGAATTGGTTAGCATTTATGAATGTGTCTTGCATTAACACTTTGCTTTGGAGCAATAGCGCAGTTCTGAAGTGAATCCCCAGACTGTTTTCATTTACTACGTGCTGGTTCAGGGTAGAAGCGGTTTTAATACATGCGAACAAAATCCCTTGCACAGGAAGCTGAGACAGAACCTGTGTTTCAGAAACCCTTCAAATATGCTCCAGCTCTGGATGGGGACTTTAGGCTCCCAACCAGTCTGTGTACCACCTCACTTCACAAGCATCCATCTGAAGTTTCTTCCCTTCAGAAAGCTTTGCTCCACGTGCATAGTGCAGATGTTCATCCCAAGGAATCAGGCTGTATCCGATCCAAAGTAAATATCACAAGCCACGTGTAATGGAAGTGTGAGGAATCTCAGTACCAACCTCTTGCATCCACTGATCCAATCCCATTGTGCCAAATTACATGGTGGGTATATACGTATATAGATCTCTGTATGTATTTTTGCATCCCACTTGGAAGAATCAGTTTTGCTCAGCTGCGTGCCATAGATCACACACTGTAAACTACTAGAGGAGATTCTTTGTCAGCTCAAGTATTCAGGTATCTGTGGAGCACATGGTGGTAGTTCATATGGCTCCTTTGGCATAAAGTGATTGCATTGGACCACTTAAAGGCCATAGGAAATTTTCTAGGTGTATGCAGAATTTCAAAAACACTAGTAAAACTATAGAGCTGCTCTCCATGTGAGGAATCATTCCTCAAACGCTGCATGGCAAATAGTGGTTATTAACATGACTTGCTTCCCCCCCTCGCCATCTATTTAGATTCAGCTACAAGTGGGTGGCTGTCACATGACAATGATGAGCAGCTCAGAACGGGATCCATTGTGATTTGTCAGATATATTTTTAAATTATGGCTATTTTCAGGTTAATCATCATATGAGCTCCTGTTTAGGAGTAGGATCAATAGCCTAGCGGGAGTCTGTAATGGTTTTTATTGACAAGTGAGGTAAAAAACACTTAGTTTGAAAGTAAGATTTAATGTAATGAAATAGTGTCCCTATTTGTCAAAGGCATCATCACATGTTCCGTAACTAAAGCAAACAATATGTATTCACAAGATTCCCTGTCAGACAAGACAGTAATTAAGGAAGTGAGCTATTTGAGGGGTTCAAATCAAAATATAAATTATTCCAGCCAACACAGCTTTAGCTTTCGAGTTCCCTTGAAAGCAATACTATACTAAACATATGTATTTCTGAAATCTTGCAAATGAATTATGGGCAGTCCTTAGTTCTAAAAGGTAAATTTACTTATTTTAGGTTTTTGGCATGGTAGAATTTTTAATAGGTTTTGGCATATGTATGAGTTAAATTTGTATTATATTAATTTTAGAATTTTTCTTCTCCATTTTTATTTTTTCTGCCTTCATGCGTTTATGGTAACTTTGAGCTTGGAGAGTGTCCATTTATTTTTATAGCTTCCTGACTTTCTAATTATTTCTAATTAATGTTGCATTGTTTTGTTATAACAGTCTCTCTGTATTCCCAGAGACTGTGGTTAGGAGTGGATGCTATTTGGTTGAGTAATGGATCCGTAATAAACAACTGGAAAGTCCACAGAAAACTGAAGCACTCATACATAAAATGACACGGGAGTAATTTTTGTGGGTGAATTGATTAAAATTCCCCTCCCAATGCTTTGCCTGGTTTGCTATGTGTATCCGCACTAGCCATCCAAGATGTCTGTAAGAGATATCTACAGGGCTCCTGACACATCCGTGTTCCTCTTAAAGTAGAGTCTGTGACAGGGACAGCATAAGACCTTATGTGGCAGCCCTCTGTCACACTTTTATATAATTCACTGTCAGTCTATGCCAGCTATAATGCTGAAGCATTTATGCTAGTATATGTGGTCCTTAGATTCGACAGTCTACTGGACAGAAGTGAAGAAGAGCAACACTGACCAGCGTACACTCGTTCTGAAAAGAAAGCCTCTTATCACAGTGCCAGCCGCTATTCGCCATACATTAATTGTACAGTCAAATGCCACTGAGAGTTAAATGCTCAGCAGCTTAAGTAATGTTCAGATCCAGAATAATAAACAAGTTTTTTGTTCATTTGATGATAGGCTGGTCAGCAAAAGCAGGCAGATTGTATATACGTAGTTCCAATAGACAGGTTGTGGAGTTCTCACTTTTGCTCTGGTCATTTATTGCACCTTGTATACAAGACACAACGGGTCTAATTCCACTCTTACAATTTCCTTGAATTCAGGAATATAAAGTGAGAGGAAAAGTAGGCCTTTTATACAAAAATAATTTGGAGATATGTCTTGGGCTATTTATTAATATTTCCTTACGGATTTATGGGTGACATTTGGCATTATCAGCTTGCTATTGTAAGACACTGCAGAAAAAGAGGGATTTGTTATTTCTTATCTACATAAGAGATATAATCCCCTCCATCCATAGAAACCAAAGTGTTTCAGTAATAGGAATACAAGGGTGTGTTTTCACCGCACAAAAGAGCGGGATGCAGAGACTTTTCAGCTAACTTTGGCTGAGTTGGGTCCAGCTAAGTAGCACAGTTACATCAGAAAGGCAGTGCTAAAAAGCCCGGGTGCAGGGTTGCACCGGTTTATGTGTGCTGCGTTTGGGATCCAGGTTAGTATCTCTGCATAGCACTGTGCTGTGTAAATAAACCAACTTGCTCAGAGCTGTCTTGGGAATGTCTAAAAGAGCAAGTGACCTTTCCACTACAAGGGACGTGTACATGCACATTCATGGGATCCTGTAGGTCTGATATTCAGCCTAATGAAGACTGAAACAGATTCCTGCTATCCTAAATAATCTTTGCATCAGATCCCTACTTCTTGTTTCTAGTTGTTATCTGGTTTTCTGCTTCAATGTTAGAAATCTTTGTTATTTTGACTAAAGCTAACACCGTGCTGTGCCTGGTATCCTTACCCTGGTGTTTGTAATCAGACTTGGATGGATTTATAATTCTTGAGTGCAGAAAGAATTTAGAAAGGTTTTTTTGTGTGTAGTTTTGCAGCAAAGCTGAGAATACACTCTCATAATGAATTTTGTCAGCTGCCAGGAGGGTCCCTATGTCCTGTGTACCTTTTACAGTAACAGAGCTGTGCTGCTTGGGTGTTTCCAAGCTGCTAAAATCGACAGTCTTTTCCTAGCTGTTTTCAGTAAGGTGGGATCCATAACTCTATCCATATTTGAAATCTCAAAACAGACATCAGCTTACAGAGCACATATCACGAGATCTGCAGAGAGGTACTTCAATTAACAAGGGAATGTGCCCTAGCTTCACCCATCAGGGAGCATAATCTCAGTACTGATGGGGAAGGCATTCCTTGTATTATCCATGTAGCTACCAAACTGTCCTTCTGTTGTTACTGGCATCCTGAGGTGAACGCTGAAAATAATGAGACAGGTACAGTAAAAAAGTAATTAAATAGTGGCATAAAGGCTAATAATTTCTGTACACAATGGATCATGAGTATGAACATCAACAGTTAAAAGGGTCCTGACTGAAGGTGTTAATACAGCTTCAGCACTTTTTATTTTCAGTAGCAACAAGCTGTATAAATCTGCAATTAATGAACTAATCAAATATAACTCTGACATTGCTAGGAAGTACAGGCTTACCCCTTTACTCTTCGTAATTAACATTTGCCATTTGTTAAAAACACCAGCAGGACTCTTCTCTTTAAGGACAGGAGGAGCAAAACAGTGGCTTGATAGCTAGCCTCAAAAGCACGATTTTCAGGAGTGAAAACTAACACATCTCGACACCGGTGAAGGATATTCCATCAATATTTATGTAAAATTTAGTATTAATTCTAGCAATATTGTGCAAATTCTTTTCAAGTTCTTTCAGGCTTAGAGAACCCTTAAAAAGATAACACTTCGTGTATCGTGTGTGTTGTAACACACCTGAAAGACAGGAAATGAAACTCATTTTAGTAAGATAATATATAGTGATTTGTAACAGAATAACAATAATTTCTTCTCATGGATTTTAGATCTAAGGCTGTACCAATTACCAAAAGAGAACAGCAGTTTGAGAAAAGAAATGGGTGAGTAAGTATACTTAGCAAAAAAGGGTGTCTATATAGATTCAGAGATAATTTAAGTAAAAAAGAATGAGCCTTGCTAATTTAAAATATTCCCTCTCACATGAGAACATGATGGGTCAATCATTACTCTGGTGTTTGCTCCACAGGCAGAAATTTTTAATGAACTACTGTAGCTAATAGGAATTCCTTAGAGTGTTTTATGAATTGCTATTTTACAAAGTGGCTCTGGCAGCAAGCGTTTGACAAGAAGGATAAACATGGCTGCCTAGCACATCTGTTTATTTGAGTAAATCAGTCCTAGCTCAACTGGCATGTGTCCATAAGGCCAGATAATATCCTTCAGCAAAGTCTTCAGCAAGCAGAGGGATCAGGGATGACACAATTTTAATTAAAGGAGAGTTGCATAGATAAGTTTGGAGTATTTTTAAAAATTGTTAAAATATTGTGTAATCCTGCCTGCCAGATTTGATATCTAGTTACTCTGTGCTAGTGTCATGGCTGACTGGGCCTTTCTCAGGTATCGTAGTAAGCCTTTCTTTATGCCCAGCCCTTCCCAGTCCTCTGTGCTCCTGGGTCACAGACCCTCTGTGGGCTTGGATGGGAGGATAACTACAGGATTAATTCGTAAGTAACTCAGTCTACCAATATTTTTAAGGGTTCCCATGATAGCTAAGGATGAACATCTTGTATCACCTCCATAGATAGTAAAGATCTCCTGGCTAGCAAGCATAGGTCAAGCATTCAACTCTGTGCACGAGGGTGAGATCTCCGACCTGCCTAGAATGTTGGTGTCACTGTGTCTGATCGCTATGAGACTTCTACTTTCATGTACGTAGTAACACCATCCAGTTGGGACTGTCACTTTTAGATCGAAGAGGATGAGATAATAATAACCTTTTGCCACTATAACTTTCAATCCATCTGCTTTTCTTCTTTGTCTATGACATAATTTTAGCACTACTTGAATGCATTTTATTTTATGGATTGATAATGCAGAATCCCTGGGCCGAATATCAATGCAAATAGAAACTAACTATCTTCAGAGGACTGCCAAAGAAATGTTATTTAACGATTTACAGCTGACTGCAGAGGATGTTATGGAGCTACATAATAATAGCACCAACTATATCAATTGGTAATGCCAGATGAGAGTCTGAATGTGTTTTAGAACTGACTGGACCCCTTTTTGGAAGCTGTCTATAGGTTATTGAGAAATACTGAGGATCTTAAATAATTTTAATGAGGAAAAGTAGCTGCTGAAACTATTGTAACATACCTGGGTGTTCAGCTGGGGATTTTTTTTGGAATTCAGGAGGAAAAGGAGACATCAATAATAATGCAATCTTACAAATAATGTTCTAACCAGAACGCTTTAGAGTTAGTACTAAAATGGCCCTCCCAGTGTCTGTGTGAAATATGCAGAGCCGCTGTTTCTACTGAGGATTCACAAGAGAAAGGGCATCTCTTAAAACTGGAAACATCACATGGAAATTAAAGCGGCTGCTCAAGCGTTTGAGCCTGGATAATGCCAAAGGTGTGCAAGTTTCTGTGTCGTGGTTTAACCTCAGCTGGCAACTGAGAACCACACAGCTGCTCACTCACTCCCCCTCCGGTGGAATGGGGGAGAAAATCGGAAGAGTAAAAGTGAGAAAACTC